CAGTCACTTCAGAAGAAAAGCATCCTCATTCTTTGCTAAGTGATTTTATTCCATGTTTTGCACTAGCAAGACTGAGGGTCTGTAACGTCAGAAAGAAGAGTAGATTATCATAACAGAGAGAAAAATATTAAAGCAGGTTAAATTTAGTGTATATTCTTTATCTTGGTTAACAGTTTTAACCAACAGCATCTGCAAAGATAGCTATTTTTTTGTGAGTTAGCAAGATATGCTAGTTAATCCAGTGTTGTTTTAGAGTTTTAGCTAGGTAGCTAGTCTTGACTAGCTTTCGCTAGTGACACAAAACCTTTTAGATGTTATACTGTGCCTTATTGCGCGATAACAGATAATATTCAAATACCTACTTAGGATTTTTTGCAGTCGACAGCAAAATGCAAACTGAACATGGATAACAAACACACTAGTTAAACACACTAGTTAGCTAACAAGTTAGCTAACGCTAGCTAGCTAGTTAACCCAGTGTAGTGGTAGATAGTTTTAGTGTGCTAGCTAGAAACTATGGAACTTAATACACCAAAGTCTCTCTCTATGGAAAATATGTATTTTTATCCAGGTAAACTGCTACATGGAATGTTGCATGGGATCTTTTGGGCTCGGCAGCAAAACTGTAGGTAGCAGCTACCATCTTGCTACGTACAGTTTTGCTGCCGACCCCAAAAGATCCTATGCAACATTAATATAATCCTATATAACATTAATAAGTATTTTCTATGGAAGTGAGGTAGCGTGATACCCTAGCTAGCCTAATAGTTTTAGCTAGTTTTAGTGTGTCAGCTACAAACTATGGAGCGGATAGGAAAGAGACTGCCTTAAAGAGTCGGAATGATGTATCCCCTTTTCTCTCATTTTTCCTCTGTCTCTCCCTCCCTCTGTCCCCTGGAGGAAAGTAGCATAAAGCCAGAGCACAAAGCGCACCCCTGCAACTCAGGCCTGTTGCGACAGGTCGGCACAGCAACAAAGAGTATCTCGTATGGTACAACACACTCTTTGTGTGGTGAGAGAGCACCTTAGTCAAGAGTGGGTTATCCTAACGCACACACACATACCCACTTCTACACATGCCAGTCTGTTTTTGCCCATGCGAAAGCAGCAGGCTCGCCACATGTAAAGACTGTGTAATTTCGTGTCAAGTACAACAGAAGGCAGTGTCTGTTTTGCTACTCAAAATACCTCCGCACCTAGCGAGCGAAGAGAGAGCAGCATATACAATTTTACATGCTGCCTGTTTTTCCCAGCACTTATTCTACACTCAAAACATGACCACTAGCCAGCAAGCCCTGTATTAATACTACTGTTACAGTACAGTGTAGGTTTTTCCTCAAGAGTTAAGACATGTCTGGTGTCTTGAATCTTTCATTTTGCCCTGTAGCTATGAGGCTAAAACAGTTTCGTCCACTAAAAACAGTAGTAGCGGTCATTGAGACGCCTGATTTCTGTCTGTACTTCTGTCCAATCGACATTAGTTTAGCACTATCATGATAAATGTTATTATTGTGATTCACAGTATGCTTTTCTGAGCATATTGCGGATAACGTCGGAACTTAACGTACAAACAACTACAAATGAAACTACATTTTTCATTAAAAAGACAACATAATTTGTCTGATTATTTGAATTTAGTACAGTATAGTCTGAGAAATGTTGAATAAAATCATTGTCCCAAAAATTTTTAATAGCTCTTTTTAAAAGTGGTACTATTAGTGTGTTCTACCTATTGTTATACCTACTTGATATACTTAAGGCAAGTGTCTGATAACTTAGGCATGTAGTTTGCTTGATGGTAATTGGTGTAGATCAGAGTTCTTTTTCAGGTATATTAGCCTCGTAGCTCCAATGCAAAACTAAAGAAGCAAACTTCAGGCAACAAACTTGTCTGACTGACTAAATTTGGAGAAACCAAAGGTAAATTTCAACCTTTAAGTCCTTATTTATTTTGAATTTATTGGATTGTCCCCCTGCTGGCTTTAGCAGGACTGCCATTATCTAGTGCTGCACTGCACGTAGTCTTCAAAACGAAAACATCTGGCAAAGCCTGGCCTTTGAGCGCAAGCCCAACAGTTTACAAGCTCACAAATCTCTCACCTCCACTACAGCCTGGGTGGGGTAGCTGGCACACACAACATGCACACAGTCCCCTCACCAGGGCTTCAGTGGCAACATCTTTTCTTGTCAGCCAGACAGCGGCAAGATCTCTGATGAGATAAAAAATTATCCTATCATGATAAACATGTGTGTCATCGGCTCTTTGCCGAGAAAGATTTAGAGCCTCTGTCATCGCCAACAAGGAAATTGACGGTGCCGAGATTGAGAGGCGTGGGGGTCATTGCGGTTTAGCATACGGCATCTCGTTCACTTGCTTGTGAGGTTCTGCCAAAGTGAGGGAGTTTAGAGTGCAGTCTTGTCCAAACAAGCTAGTTGTATCAGAGCGGCACTCTGAGTGATGCTTAAGGCTGACATGCCTGGCAGGCCGATGTCTAATATTGACTGCTTTTAGACCTACTACTATTAATGCTACTACTACTACTGCTATTTCTATTACTTCCACTTCTAAAAATATAAATGTACCGCCACTACTACTACACTCTTAAAGGGTTCTTTAGTAAAGGCAATGGTTCTATTTAGAACCATGAGTTCTGTATAGAACCATGTCATGCTTAAATGGTTCTTTGCATAGTTATATGGTTCTTCAGATTAATGGAGAATGTGTTGGTTCTATGCAGAACCATTTTGCAAATGGTTCTATATAGCATCAAAAAGCATTCTTCTATTGTTACAAGCTTGACATCAATATATTGGCAGCAATATATAAACCCTTTTTAGTGCTGTATACAAACCATTTTCAAAAAGATTCCATATAGAACCACATACAACATATTCTCCAACAATCTGAAGAACCATTACGCAGAATTCATTACGCAAAGAACCATTTGAGCACGAAATGGTTCTATATTGAACGCATGGTTCTACATAGAACAACTGCCTTTACTATAACCACCCTTTTTAAGCATCTAGGGATGTAACAATTCACAAAATGTATAATTCAACTCAATGGTTACTATATTCATGTTTCCATTTTCAGTTTCCTTGAGGCTTCAACATTATAACAGCAGAATATCTGAGATTTTACAAAGGTACAGTCAGGTTTTACTTGATCCATTGAGACTAGCAGCCTATAAAAACAAGTATCGTGCTTTCCAATGTAACAAATTCAAACCAAATCAAAGTGGTTTACTGAGCAAGAGAATAAAAGTACATTGGAAAAATCTCAACACTTTTTTTCTTGTTCCACTGACAAACAGAGAGGAGTGATGTGTGTGCAGATAACTGGACATTGCATTGCAGCCACCAGCTAACATCCTAGCCACAAGGTAACACCAACACAGCTACAAGCTAATGTCCTACCCACACGCTAATGTATACTTACAAGGAGTGCGCTTTTCCTCCTGTATTCACTTCCGTGGCAAAGAAGGCTATTTTTTCACAGCTCCCTCACTGCTTGCATCATTAATTTTTCATTGCATCTTATGCAAAAATAACCAGTATCAAGATACTTTATTTGCTCCAAGATACTGTTCAATATACTGTTTAATGCTTGTGCATACTATGATTTCTGAACTACTAAATTAAGAGCCTTTTTTCAGAAAGTACAATATGTTGTAATTACACCCATAACTATTACTACTACTGCACCCATCTTTCTCAAAAGCAGAGCTGCGCAGACTTAAAAAACACCAGACGCCCCTCGCCATGCATCAAATTATGGTTTTAAATCTGGAATTCCAACATCATGAAGACAAGAGGTGGTCAGGTGGGTTGTAACAGGTTACACTTCCTTAGTTTTATGTACTTAAGCACATGTTCTAAGTACTATGAGATGATAACATTTCTTCTCAAATATTTGTGAGAAAAAAAAAAAACACTTTTTACATCTCAATCATTAGCTTGTAGTCTGACTTGGTGTTTAATTCCATTCTGTTCTGTTAGCCCAGCATCTGAACTGCTTTACAGTTGCTCAGAACTCCTAACACCCAATAAACTTTAGTCTACAGGGAACTAGGGAGTTTTTTGAGCAGACACTATTTTCACTCTCACTCAAGTCTTTTTTGGTAGCTGCTTTTACTGCTTTTTGAGTCTTTCAAGGGACAAAACTTCTACTTCATGCACACATTTCCTCCTCAACACCCTACTGACAGATGAACTTACTGCACCCCATCTATTTTCACACTGTAAAATCTGCTTTGCTGAAGTTACTTCATCATGGCCTTCATCAACATCACATCTATCATCTCTCACCTTCAGGAGCTAGCCCCCAGTGAAGTTTGATTCCATTTCAGATACTTTTTTACTCAGGTTTTGTACGTACTTTTGCTTCTACTCAAGTTAATGTTCCGCTAAGTCGACAAGATGTTTATTTCTGTGGGGTTTTCTCTGGAAGAGGTCACACGCAACCAGCCATTCCATATCTAATCCACCTCGGCCTACATCGCCACAACAAACTCACTAATCCCTTACCTGCATGAGATAGCTCCCAACAAACTCTGATCTCTAATCTGATACCTTTTTACTCAAGTTGCTTTTTATAGAGACGTTTTCTTCTACACAAGTCGATATTCCACTGACATGACACATGACAAGATGTTTATACTGTTAGGGTTATCTTTTCTGGAAGTGATGCTGAAAAGATCACAAGCAGAACTGCTCCATAACACTCTCCTGACAGATGATCATTCTGTATCCAGGCCACCAAGGCCTCCATCACCACTACTACCTGCAGGACCCAGTTCCCAACAAACTCTGACTCCTATTCCTATTACTGGTTGGTACTTTTGCTTCTGCATATTCCACTGACATGACAAGATGCTGATTTCTTGTTTGGGACTCCTCTGGAAGAGACATATAAGACAATTACACTTTCTCTCCAGCACTCTACAGGGAGATGACCATTCATGGCCTCCATCACCACCACCCCTGTAAGCTCCTACCTGCATGAGTTTGCCCTCGGCGTATCCGGCGCTGCTGCCGGCGAACACGCCCTCCAGGGTGATGGGCCTGGCCGTGGGCTCCTGCTTCAGCATGGTGACCTTGATGAGGGCGCGGGGCGCCGAGCGCTCCGCCTCCACGGCCGCCGCCAGCTCTAGGCCCGCGTTGCCCAACGCCGCCTGCAGGGCGGCCGCCAGCAGCCACGGCCAGAGCCCGGCCAGCCGCCGCCCGGAGACCCTCATTGGCCCGGCTGCATAATGCACGGACCACACGGCGAACGGCAAGCTCCACACGGCTCTCCTGAGGGGGTCTCTGAGGTGATCGCAAGTGGGTGCCTTGGCTTCGTCCTTTAAGAATCAAGACCAAGTCTACTGCTCTGGCCTGGCATGGTCCAGAAACTTAGAAAAGGCAAAGAGAGGCGACTGCTGAGACAACTCTTGTAGGAGCTCAGGAAAAGCAGTGATCATGGTTAAAAGTTAAAGAAGATCGTGCACTGTGGTTCAGAAAGGTGATATCACTCCATATCACATGCACAATACATCATCAAGGCTAATTAATCGATAATTAGCGTTGGCTAGCCTGTATCGCTCACAGGGGAGGCCAAGCACAGAGCGCATGAAGAAGAGCGCATACACGCTGCTGAAGTGTGCATTGATCCCAGCGTTCAAACACTCAGCAGTGGGGAAGCCACTCTGCTTTGGCTTGAACAGAGCAGACTGGCATGAACTTCTTCAATCACGACTTCCAAATCAGCTCCAGAACGGCAGTGACTGGCAGCCCAGATTCCAGACTGCAGGCAGCCAAAGTTCTGCACCTCTCCCTCCTTGCTTTCTATCTCCTCTCGTCCTACTCAAACCCCTCTGTGTCTTCACATTATTCCACTCCTCAGGGCTCTGGTTGGTGTACGTATCCACTTGGCGTCCACGGAATCCAGAATGGAACAGGTTGTCGCGGTAGATCCTCCTTCCAGCTGTATTATTTGTATCCAAACACGGCAGATTTCCAAGGGCTCGTAATTCCAAAGAACAGGGACCGTGAAAGTCAACGTGTTTCCTTCAGCACTGAACTGAGCTTCTCTTTGAACACAGTGCTGCCTCACGGGGCTCCGCTGCACCGCCAGTCAGTCCGATGTCGATTAAAACGGAGATCTGCAGAAAGTTTGCCAAACTGATAGAAGTGCTCTGCTGAAGTTTGGTGTTTCAGTCCGCTTCGGGGTCGGACAGGCAGGTCAACCGCGATCCACAATCACGTGTAATCCGCGCAGCCGAGTAGTGATTGGCCATCATGTGAAACCTGTTCGCTGCTCGAGCACGATTCCCATCTCCTCCAGACGGAGGTCCTAAAATCCGGGATCCTTTCGAAAGAGAAGTTCCGCCGCTTCATAAACAAAATCAGCGCTCCAAAAAAAGTTGTTCGCTGTTAAGACGTGGACGTGACTGAGAAGAGAAGGTGCTTTAGAGGGACGATGGTGGGTTTTTGGAAGAAGCTGAAGAAGTTGGAGAAAGTCCCAGCGGTGGTGAAGTGTACAAGCCCGGCCGAGTGTCCCTCCCTGGGGATCTCATGGAGCGCCTACCTGCGGGCTGAGTGGCGCGGAGGGTGGAGCAGAGGCGCTCCGCCATGCTGAGAAACAGCGGCCGATGCCTGGCGCCCTCTAGCGGACAGCGCTGGAACGTACCGTGGGTAGCTTACATGAGGAGGTACAGCAGGAGTCACCAAGCCTCCTCCAGGAGATTTAACTTTACCCTACAGTTTTCACCTCTAACCCAAATTTAAAACACCCCCTTCATCCCACTTCTGAGGGCAATAATTAGATGGTCCAGGTGGAGCTGATTAGGGATGGAGCTAAAGTCTGCAGGAAGGTACATCTCCAGGAGCAGGGAGGTCACCTCAGATGTAGAGAATGAAAAACGGCAGTTGTCCGTTTATGTTTCGGATTCTGGACTCTAGGATTTTCGAGGCCCCAGTACAAAAGAATGTCTCCCATACAAAAATTGCATTCATTTATTTAAAACATTAATGTAATTTGCTCATTTACTCGCTGCTGTGTCTCAAACAAGTCAATGCTCTGCAGACATACCATGTTAACCTAAATGTTCATACTAGACTGCCTATTTGAAATGTTAAAATAATAATGAATGTCATGTTGCAGACTGTGAATGATTTGTTTGAAAATCCATTACTATGGATGCGATGTATTAAGAGGAAGATCAATAGAGCAGTGCTGAAAGCCCCCCTGTACTGATTGCCCCCCTGCCTCCTGCCTATGTAGTTAGACCGCTGTCACTGTGTACTAAACCTAATTTTCATGTGTAATAAGCTTATTATTGCCCATAAATCAATAAATGAGTGGCCAGACTTTCAATGTTTCTGAAACCACCGCTGTCCTATATACCAGGTATCATCAGTTTCCGCTATTTCCTTCCTCAACACACCAATTCAGCTCATTAGCTAATTGCCAAGCGTTAATTTGCTAGGCAGGAAATAAATAAAACTGTGTCACTAGCAACACTGGTGGGTCCCCAGGAGCAGAACTGAAAACACATAAAAAGCCATATTACTAACCTACTGTATTTAATACACTGAGTTGCCAGATATATTAGATACACCTAATTTGTACACTTACTGCACATTTTATCAAGTACACCTAGCATACAGGTACACTCTGTAAATTTGCACTTCCTAATTGTAGCCCGAGTGTTGCTGTACAATTTATCAGCCCATTTCAACATATCCATCTATGGAGAAAGACCACCACATGACCCCTGCTCAGAAATTATTTGGATGGTTGGTCCATTTTCAGCTCAGCAGTGGTACCAACAGGGTAGTGGCATGTTAGTGTCTGCTGTGCTGGCACAAATGTATCAGGCACAGCAGGATTGCTGGAGTTTTTAAACACTGTGTGCCATTTTATTAGACGTCTACCTTGTCGGTAGACCACGTTGTAGGTGTACAGTTAGATATGTTTCCATGCATGATATGTATTAGCCCCACTCTATTTAAGTGGTGCAGCTTCAGTACTGGATACTTTGGTGAATTTCCTGCTCAAATACACCTGATTTAACTCATCAGTTAGTGCATGTGCAAGGTTAAGTTGGTGTGTTAGAGCAGGGAAATCACAAAGCAGCTGCGCTTTACGCCTCATTTCCACAACCCTGTTCTCAGTCCTGACATAATTCTGACATGCAACACCTCCAACTGGAAACTGAACTTGTTTCCATTATTATTAAACATCAGCAAAACTTTAAAACAAAATGAAGCAGTCAATTCTGTACATGTTTAAATTAAATCTGTTAATTGGTTCCAAAATTCATACATCCTCTGAAGGCAGATTGTTATTATTTTTATAGTTTTCAATTAATAAAAAAAATAGATGTATGTAGTTTGATTTGTATTCTCTTGATTTTGGGTGGTGATTCTGAATAAGCTTAAGAGAAGAATGGACAGAGCATAACCTTACCATTATTTGCTTCCACAAGGGACAATGCAAAGTTAGACTGTAATACAACAGTAATTCATCTAAGATACAATGTAGGTGTACCTAATAAACTGGCAACGATCAGTGGTCTATCAGTGGTTGTAGTTTGCCCCCTGCGGTTTAAACCATAAAACTACAAGCAATTGTTCAACTGAATAATTCAAATGCCCACACAATTTTACTTGGATAGTTTTGCATTTATTCAAATACCAAATAAAACTGCTATTCATTACACGTCATATAAAGTAGCCTTAGGTTCTCAGCCACAATGTAACAGTATTATTCCTCTTTACTTTAAAAATAAATAAATAAATAGTAGTTTTAAAATCTTAAAATGTTAGCTGCTAAAACAATTCAATTCAATTTAACATTAAAAATATTATTAATTATACTTTTTAAAATTAAATATATATAAATATATATATAATAATTATAAGTCTCTAAAATAACTTATATAATAAACTTCTACAGTTTAAAACGATTCTAATTAAATATAATCTGTAATTAATAAATCTAAAATCAATATGAATATTTTTGTATGGATAAATAAACGTAGAACAGAATTCTTAAGAATCAGAGAAAGCTATTAAATATACTGCATTTATGCAGGTACGTTCTATTCAATAAATTTGAAAAATTTGGCATTACCATCACGCCTATTAGAACTGGATATAAAATACAGTCTATTGTACCTATATATTGTACTTATTCAGCTTACAGCAGGAAGGGATGCAACTACTACATTGTAAATAAAGTGTGGTGTCTTTTAAGCATACATAGAGGCTGGTGCAGTATCCTCAAGGTGAGTTGTTTTGTTGTGGACTGATTGTTCTCTATCTGGCTCCTTCCTTGGAGGGATCAGCAACAGCAGGGGAACAAGGAGACATAAACACAATATCACATCACAAACAGCACTATCCAACAATTCTAAAAGACAGCCTCAGTGACTACATCTTTCTAGTGAATGGCAGTCATCATGATTGTTCCTAACCTTCAGAGAAGATTCCAACAGTGCTGCCTCTGATTGGCTGGACCCTTGCTCCAAGCCTTCGTCAGCCCCCGTCTCTGAACAGCTGGAGTGGGAACCCATGGTAATGGAAATGCCTGATGATACATTCCCTGGCACAGTGATGATGATGCCACCCATAGAACTGAATGAGGGGCTGGACTGTACAGGGATGGGCCTGGAGACCTTAGGAAAGTCATTGTGAGATGAGGCTAAGGCAGATGTGGGCTTGGAGGCTGTGGAGCTGTGGAGAGACAGGCCAACTAGATGTTTCTCTGGTGTCGAAATGGTAGGGCGCTTTTCTGGGGAAGAAACTTTAACCATGTGCACCTTGGGCGAACCCTGAAGCTCATCCACAATCTTAAACACAGTGTCCAGGTTCACATCAGTCTTCTTGGACATGCTGTCACCTGACAGCCAGTCTGGATTCTGACCACTAGAGTGAAGGTAGCCAGCTGCGTATGTCTGGTGAACAAATGGTAGGATTCAGTGAGTTACATTATTTATATGCATCATTATTACACTCAGAAGGGCTAGACTTTTTTATTAGATCTTGTTATTGCCATGTACACTACAGATCAACAGTATGAAATCATGCAGCGATTTTCTGAATTAAAAATAATAAAATCAATATATAATATAATAAAATAAGTCAATCTGCCAACAACTATCAAAACATCAAAATCACTTCTAAACTAATATGTAGCTTAACCAAAGAATATTTTCCAAAATATTCCACTGTTTTACAATGATGTAGTCCTGTTCTACTGTACTAATCTTCACACACTTTTCTTATACTGACCAGTTTTTAATTATTCATAAACTCCTTATTTACCACAGCTGATTCAGTTTATCAAGGCTTCAGGATCATCTGAATGTGAGAATCAAGTCGGTATGATAAAAGTTGCAATGAATGTCTGCATGATCATCACCGAAAGCATGACCAATTGAAGTCAATTTACAATGCAATATTATTTCACTCAATGACAGGAAGTGATGGTGGCATGGGGGAGGTTAAACATTATCTTTTTGTTTAATGTTTTTCCTTTCCCTGCTTTTTCAAGAAAGTCAAGTCCCTATACTTTGATTAAAGATTATGCAAAAGGGTTTGGTATGATGAATCATGCTTTATAGGGGGTGAAAGTGCAGAACTATGGAATCTGCTGGATGCATTAAAAACATTTTGAGTCGTCATTCATTTCACTACAGGGAAATAAAAAAAATCACTTGCACTGAAATTTTTGTGAACAACTAAACATACAAACATGTTGTAAGCATACGGGAACAAAAGAGTGGACTACAATATGATAGTAGAGCCAAGAGTAAAGACAAAGACCACCTTTTATTTATTTAATTTCCAGTCAAAATGGCCATTAAAAACATTATTAATTTTTCAGCATCAGAAAAAAATCATAAACAGAAAATATCTATTTAACAGAAAATTACACAGAAGCTTCAATAACTAAATATAATAATAATTTTTCAGTATGTAGTGTGCCCACACTTTGCTCTTCTTACAGCTTCTATACTGGTCAAAAGAGAATATTTTACTAATTTTGGAAACTCCTGTTTTTTCATTTATTTTCTTTTGACTCATCCCTTTCTTATGCAAGTGGATTATTTTATATAATCTCATCAGAAATAAGCTTGAAAAAAAATAGAGAAATAAGCTTGTACTTAATGGCTGTTTTGACTAGAAATTAAATAAATGAGGGGTAGTCTCTAACATTTGCAGAGTATCATAACTGTAAAGATGTGCTGATATACATGTCTGTTAATTCCTGAAAGACATAACACTTTTACAAATTTCCTGTTGTTTCCGAACTTTTGATCTGTTTAGTTTGGTACACAGTTTTAAGGCTCAAAATGGCAAATTAAATACTGTTTAACAAAGAATATCGTAAAGATTTCTTGTGAACAGTATGAGTTGACGATTCAGTTCTTACCGGGTAATAGCCATAATGGGAGTATGAGGCAGCTTGATGGGAACATGCCATGTCTGCATCCGAGGAGCCAGGGGGGCAGCACCGACTTGCTGCAAAAGGCCAGACACACATGTTAAGTAAGTGTTAAA